CGCGATACCTGTTGTCTCTGTTTCTCTCTCTCTCTCTCTCTCTCTCTCTCTCTCTCTCTCTCTCTCTCTCTCTCTCTCTCTCTCTCTCGTCTCTCTCTCTCTCTCTCTCTCTCTCTCTCTCTCTCTTTCTCTCTCTCTCTCTCATCAAACATGCGGCTGTCAGTTGCTGAGATGCATAGTCCGTCGCTCTATCGCTCACCGTATTGCATGTGCTGTACGCGTTGTAAGTACTCACGGGAAAAGCGCCTGTATACTAGCAGCACATGAAGCCGTCCCCAGAGAAGCAGGTGTAGATGCTGCAGTGTGTAGTGATGACTAGCTAAACACGGGTGTGCACGCGCGTGTCCGTGCAAGTCTGTATTTTGGGTATGAATTTGTTGGTACGGAGTTTGGAGGCGATTTGAACTAGTATTATGAAGTCTCTAATGCCAAGTGAAAAAAAATCCGAAACATCGTAGAACACGTTTTTGTGCAAACGTTGTGACATCCTAAGCATCTAGAGTCTATATTGACAATCGCACAGTGATAGCGTTGAATGGTTTTCCCGACAACGCTAGCTGAATGTGCGTGCACGGGAAGTTTGGGGGGGGGTGTTATGCGTCTGACGTGGATTGCCGCGATATTATAATTTAATTTGCGAGCGTTTGATTGCGCGTATGCATCGAACGGATGAGAGAAGAGGTGTTATTGAACATACTGCGTTTTTAGCTCAGCTGCACAGTCAGATGCACCTTGTAGAATCGCATGATTGTTCGCCCGTCCGTCCGTCCGTCAATAGTTGTGCACAAATCTTAACCGCTCGACGAAAAGGACTCGGGATGTCGAATTTGGGTGTCAAGGGTCAAAGGTCGAGATGTGTCAATGGCGGGGGAATATTTCCCCCTTAACTTAAGGTACAGGAGGAAATATGGAATTGCGGCACAAATCTCAACGGCTCGACCTACGCTCTTAATATTCGATGTATAGTGTGATGGGAAGGAAACCCATCACCAGCGCGAAATTGGAGGTCACAGATCAAAGGGCAGTGGGGGAAAGGTCAGATATCACATTTTCTGAGGACATATGGTCTAACGGACCGAGTGCAAAACTTTTTTGTTTTAGCGCTGACCTACCATTTTTATCACTTTATTGAAAGGACCATGAAATCTACTTTCCGCTGACGTGCGAAGAGTAAGTGTCTTTTAACCTTTTGACCCTCAAGAGGAGGGTTAGACATGGATTTGTTGACTGTTAACAAAGGACTGAACTGCTTTTGCTATTAGAGTCCCCTCCACCCGCCCCTCCACCCGCCCCTTCCCCCACCCTCCCACACCACCGCTACCGTGTACTTGTTACCGTGTATTGGTGAACGTAAGTTTTTAAACGGGACACGAATGAACTTTTGGAGTATTTTTTGGTGGGTCGGTTAGAGAAGGCTGTGTGTGATACTTATGTGAGCGAGAAAGAGAGCGAAAGTGAGAGAGGGTGAGGGAGAAAAAGAGAAAGCAGAGAGATAGAAAGAAAGGAAGCATGAGAGAGTAAAAAGAGAAGGTGAGACAGAGAGAGAGAGAAACGAAAATAAGAAGAAAGGTAGAAAGCTGGAAAGAGAGAGTGAGCGAGTGTGCGCGCGCGCAGTGGAGGGGGAGTGGAAGAAGCAGGCTAAGTTTCGCGGCTGTGAACACTAGTGCGGCAGGGGCCTATCGGCCGCCGCTGCAGCCAACATATGGCGATAAAGAACGAGAGGGAGAGAGAGAGAGAGAGAGAGAGATTGTTTGCTTGCGTCTCAACGCGCCCGTGTATTTTCTTTTGCAGCACCGAGGGGCCAACACGTAAACAACTTGTGAGCCTGACCTCTGGCGCATCGGTGACGGACGAGCCTTATTCGCCATACATCCACCAACGCTGGCAAGACGAGGCATGGGGAGGAAGAAAATACAGATCTCCCGCATCGGGGACGAGCGAAACAGACAGGTACGAATGCGCGCACCAGTGGATCATCACGTTCGCTGTTGCGATGTGAAATGTGCAGAAAGGTCGTAGAATGTTGCCGCCCACGCAGGCGTCTGTGTGGCGTGTCTTCTTAGTGGCACCTTCTACCAGGGGGTTTCTGCCGCGGCGCCTGCTACCTGTATAGTTTTTCTGCATGCTCCCTCTACCTATGGGTTCTCAGAGGTGCGGTGGGCACGTGCGAAAACGTTAATGCAGTCGTCGAAATCCTAACAAGTCCTGCAAGTTGAGGATTAAACTCGGGCGAACGAGAACGAGTCGTGTCGAGAGTGTCAACGAAACTCGCCTGAAGCAAGAGCTTGTTAGGATGATAGAGTCATGGTGATGGTTAAAAGTTCACGGAGAAATGTTTCGCCGTAGGTGTATTAAGCCTAATTAAGCAGATGCCGCGCATCGTTTCCTGAAGGTCCAGTGGGTAAGGTGACGTGTTAATTGTGAAGCCCCGACGATGCCGTGTCTTGATATTACGTGTATTGCACCTAGTGCCGTGGAAATAAGTGAAGTGCGTGTGGGTGTGCGAGCGTGCGTGCCAATTTGTCGCGGCGGGCGGCACATGGAACCGGCTTCATTAATATGCGGCGCTCGTGTGCCGTCATTGCGAGTCCGAGAGACCTGCGAAGTTTATCCGGGGAAGGGGAGGGGGAGAGGAGGCATTTTAAATTTTGTTTCACGCCGTCATGAAATTGAACAGTATAGCGTTATTTTCGTTGTCGTCGTCGTCGTCGTCGTCGTCGTCGTCGTCGTCGTCGTCGCTGTTGTTGTTTCTGCTGCTGCTTCTGTGGTTATGGGTTGTATGTGTGTGCGTCTGTAAGTGCGAGTGTTTGTCTGTGCGTGTACGTGTGCGTGCCTGCCTGCCTGTGTGTGCGGGCCTGCGTGCGTGCGAGTTTGTGTCTGGCGGTGAGTTGATCATTGAGGAGTAGGGCTTACTTGCACATTAGTCATGACAGTTATGTAATGTCTCTGCACATGTGGTGCGCTGAGTGACGAAGTGCTGATTTATTCCGCACTAAATGATCGAGGTTATGCCAGTCCTGACCCCACTGCTCTGCTTCTTAGCGCCGCCTACAGACAACACTCGTGTTGTGTGTATGCAGCGCTCATCGTCCCTGCGTGCGCTCTGGCTTTTAACACAATGCTTTCACCAGCACGCGAGAAGCGCAGAGAGCGCCACAGCAAGCCGATCTTCGTGTTACAACTTACATGACGAGTCACTATCACCGCGTGCTTTCTCGCTTTAAATTCTCAGACTCTTATCATACTGTCTCTCTCTCTAGAGCGCCCACGCGCTCACCCACCCTCTCCTGTGGCTGTCTTCATCGCGCTTTCTCACTCTCATGCTCTCTCACACACTCTCTCGGTCTTTCTCCCCCTCTTTATCGCTCTCTCTCTCTCTCCCTCTTCCCCTCTGTGTGTGTGCGTGCGTGCGTGCGTGCGTGCGCGCGCGCGCGCGTGTGTGTGTCTATTCTCGCGCTCTCTCTCTTTCTCTCTCTCTCTCTCTCTCTCTCTCTCTCTCTCTCTCTCTTTGTGTCTCTCTTCCTTCCTCTCCCTCTCAATCTCTATATCGCGCTTTCTTTCTTTTCTTTTTTTCTCACACTCTCTCTCTCTTTCTCTCTCTCTCTCTCTTGCTCTCTCGCTCTCTCGCTCTCTTGCTCTTCCTATTTCTCTCTCTTCCCCGGTAACCTTCGTATTCCTTCCTGTATCTCTCTCTATCTTACTCCCTCTTGTGTGCGCGCGCGTGAGTATGTTTGTACTTTCATGCACCTAGTCATTTCTGCAGCAGACTAACAATTGAATTTCTGCAATGCTTCGTCGGTCTTGCAGACGCCTGCTCCTACTCCTATAAGGTGTACTTCCTGGAATAGAAGGCAATGTTTCAGAACAATGAAAGCGTTGAATTAAATCTTTCAAGTATCTACCGAGGTTTTTTTTCTATGCGATCTCGATATTTTGATGTTCGTGTTGAAGAAGGATATGTGTGTACACGTCTACTGATCATTGCACCTCTGTAGGTGCTGTGCGTTGATTGTATTATGCGACGAAAATAGCCGATGAAGCGAAAATAGACCGTAAGACGTAAACGAACAATTCTATATTCACGAGATTGAATTCTTCTTCCGCAGTTTTGAATTATAATCGAATGGAACGGAAAATCGTGACCACTCGTTGAAATTCTCGTTGGCGAGCTGAGAATGCCATGTAAGTGCTGTGGACCGATAAGGGAGGGGAAGAGGGAAGGAGGGAATATGGGACAGAGGGTGTGAAAGAGAGACGAGGGAACGGAGGGAGAGAGGTTAGAGATTAGAACTAAGCGGGTGAAAGAGGGGAGAGATGGAGGGAGAAAGAGAGAGGGCGAGAATGAGGGTGCGCGTTAGAGAGAGAGAAAAGGGAGGGATAGATAGAGCAAGGGAGAGAATATGGGACCGAGAGGGTGGGACACAGTTGTCTAGAAGAGAGTTGATGATCAGTGCCATCGTTCCCAGATTCCGGCGCCCGATCTCCCTGCCAGGCCCCTTGCGCACATGTGCCGTGAGGAGGAGGCTACTCTCGTGCGCGCGCTCTCTCTCTCTCTCTCTCTCTCTTTCTCTCTCTCTCTCTCTCTCTCTCTCTCTGACTCTGTACAAAGCTGACGCGGTGGTGCTGATGCCGCAGCAGCAGCAGCAGCGGCAACAGCAGCAGCAGCAGCAACAGCAACAGCAGCGGCAGCAACAGCAACAGCAGCGGCAGCAACAGCAACAGCAACAGCAGCGGCAGCAACAGCAACAGCAGCGGCAGCAACAGCAGCGGCCGCAACAGCAAAAGACAG